TATAAACTTGGACAAATTAACTTCTTTAAGTGCTATCTTTACCCAGAAAATGGGGCTAACAGTAGTACTCCCTCATAGAGTCACTGTGAGGATAAGCTTTGGTGTGGATTTAATAGGCTTAGCACAGAGGCAGGCACATTTTACTTCACAGGGGCTTTTTACTCTCAGGAGAGATTCAGTGTAGAAATTTTGCTCTTGAAACTTGGAAAATTCAAAGAAAATGTGGCAATACTTACAGCTTGTTGGCCTTGTCCCATACCGTCGCATAATCTGATCATGTGTGAATTTCACAAAAGATTCATATTGTTCTGTGAGAAGACAGTACATACTTATCCTCAGCAACTCTCAATTTTTCAAGAATCAAGTGTCAGAATCACAAATAGCTTCCCAGTTTGAATTCTCCACCCTCTCAGGCCCTCCTTAAAAAGGTCACTGAGATCTGATCCTTCTTCTTCGAACCCAGAGCCAAATCCCTGGCTTCTAGAATTGGTCACTGATGGTGTATAACAGTATTTTCCTGATAACCTCTCCCTGTGACATAACTCTATCCCCTAATAGCCTCCCAAGACAGAGAGTTATGCTTACTACCACAGCCAGCAAATTTCGGCCCATCTCCTATGAGACATGAATCTTTGAAACTCTTTCCTTGCTATAAATTTCAACACTCACTGAGTGAAAAACGTGAGTGGAATTAAGTGTGGGATGGTCAGAAATCTAAGAGAAAATCTATACCATATAACTGTAAACAGTTCCACGGAAGTACCACCTTGTAAGGGGAAACTGAGTAGAAAAGAAGGCAGCCTGACATCTGTGAACAGAGAAGTGACTCAGAACCAGCTGACTGAAACAGTATTAAGGTGGGAGTGGGAGAGGGAATGATATATTAGAGCTGCTTCTTATAATATATGTTATATTAAAGGATCAAAGTAGTTCTACTATAGAGGAACCCATTTAACTTTGCTTAACTCAACAGCTCCCAATCTAAAGCAGACCTATTAAAATTCTAAGGAACCACGTTTTATGGGTCACCAGATTAGGAAACAATGCTGTTACAGGAAAAAGTTGTGCTTCTTCACTCTCCCTCATGATTACACAGCAGCAAAGCATGAAAGTTGCCTATACATGTCTTAATTACTCACACTGTCATCCTAAGCAACAGATCTTGACCTATATCCCACAGAGTTCGGCGGAGGACTTTAATCAAAAAGGAGTATGATAAGGTTGGTGCTTGAGATACAGTACTGTGGTTTAATGTGGAACATTATCCACTTTCACTAAACAGGTACTATTTTTTACTCCTGATTCAGATCTCTTCCTTTCACAGAAGGCTTTAATTGTTGCCATCATTGATCACTACTTTTGTAAAACAAGGCCTGCACAGCCTTGCTTTTACTCTACTGTTCCTCTCAAATCATAGGATGCTCGACTTTCCACATCCATAACTACGACTTCCACTAGGAAATTTGATTATGTTGACAATGCTGCACTCTTCCATAACACCTGTTGGGAGTTTAATACAGTATCACAACCACCTGTTTACCAGCCAGCTAGCTCAAATGGCCTACTAAATGCCTTTATTGATAGGGAAAATTCTTGCAGAGGCTTGGTTTCTTTCCTTTTAGAAATGCAAATGAAAAATCCTTCCCACTGGGGAAGGTGTAACACTCCAGTAATCCCAGCATTTTGGGAAGCTGTGGTGGGGGATTTCTTGAGGCCCTGAGCTAGAGACCAGCCTGGGCCCACAGCAAAACCTTGCCTCTATTTAAAAAACAAAGTCCTTGGAACTTGAAGCCAATTAAAAAAAACAAAAACAAACAAACAAACAAAAACCAAAGTCCTTCCATATAATGTATACATGATGTGTTTACAGTCACCAAAGTAACTTCAATACCCGAAACTCAATAAACCCCCTTGCGTGAAGTCCTATTCTGTAAGTTATTTAACTGGTATTAATTCTTAACTGAACCCTGTTAATGACAATGGCATATTTACTGCCTCGGCCTACCTGCTAGTTTGGTATTGAGGATTTGCTCATATTCCTCCCGAATCTTATCTTCATAGTCTTTTAAGAGACGCTCACATATTATTCCAACTTGTCGGAGGGTAAAGGTGGGCTGGTCCTTCTTCATCCATGAGGAACCTGGCCAAAAGAAACATCGAGTTGGGGCTGGGTGTGGTGGGTCACGCTTGCAATCCCAGCACTTTGGGAGGCCAGGTTGATCACGAGGTCAAGAGATCAAGACCAGCCTGGCCAACATGGTGAAACTCCGTCTCTACCAAAACTACAAAAATTAGCTGGGTGTGGTGGCACAGCCCTGTAGTCCCAGCTACTCATGAGGCTGAGGAAGAGAATCACTTGAACCTGGGAGGCAGAGGTTTCAGTGGGCTGAAATGGTACCACTGCACCCCAGCCTGGGTGACAGAGACTTCATCTCAAAAAAAAAAAAAAGGAAAAAGTGAGTTTGGGGGGTTAGGGGTTGAGGGGTTAGAGAAGGGACAGCATTAGAAGTACCTAATGTAGATGACAGGTTGATGGGTGCAGCAAACCACCAAGGCACGTGTATACCTATGTAACAAATCTGCATGTTCTGCACATGTATCCCAGAGCTTAAAGAATACTAATTAAGTTGGGTGCAGTGGCTCACACCTGTAATCCCAGCACTTTGGGAGGCCGAGGTGGGTGAATTATCTGGGGTCAGGAGTTTGAAACCAGCCTGACCAACATGGTGAAAACCCGTCTCTACTAAAAATACAAAATTAGCCGGGCATGGTGGTGCATCATCTAGAAAAAAAGAAAATAAATATTTTGTTTTTTGAGATGGTGACTCACTCTGTCACCTAGGCTGGAGTGCAATGGCGTGATCTCGGCTCACTACAACCTCAGCCTCCCAAGTAGCTGGGATTACAGGTGCGCACCAACATGCCTAATTTTTTTGTATTTGTAGTAGAGACCAGCTTTTGACACGTTGGCCAGGCTGGTCTCAAACTCTTGACCTCAGGTGATCCGCCCACCTCAGTCTCCCAAAGTGCTAGGATTATAGGCATGAGCCATCGAAACTGACCAAAAAAAATTTTTTTTGTTTGTTTTTTGAGAAGGAATTTCACTCTTGTTGCCCAGGCTGGAGTGCAACGGCTCAATCTTGAATCACCACAACCTCTGCCTCCCGGGTTCCAGCAATCCTCCAGCCTCAGCCTCAGCCTCCTGAGTAGCTGGGATTATAGACATGTGCCACCATGCCCAGCTAACTATATTTTTAGTAGAGACAGAGTTTTTCCATGTTGGTCATGTTGGTCTCCAACTCCCGACCTCAAGTGATCCACCAAAGTGCTGGGATTACAGGCATGGGCCACCGAGCCCGGCCCTCGTCCAGCCAAAATTTTATCTAACTTTAATCATTTAAAATTAAATAGCCAACACGTGGTGATCTAATATGCACTGGCTACCATATTACACATTGCAGTTATACAGGAAGATATTCTTTTTTTTTTTTTCTGTATTCGTCATTATAAGTACCATTTACAAATTCTTAAGTGGATTTTGCA